TTTCTAAGAAAATTAAACATAATCTACCCTATGACACAGCAATTCCACCCCCACATATCTACCCAAGAGAAATGAGTGCATGTGTACACAAAAATACTTGCAAAAAATGTTTATAGCCACTTTATTCATAATGGTCCCAAACTGGAAATAACCCAACTATCCATCAGTAGGACAAAGGATACATAAACTGTAGTATTTTCAAATGAAGCTCCGTCTGCAAAACAAATTCTTTCTCCTTGTCATCTTGTCCTTCAGTGGGTATGACACTCTCTTCTTGGGGATTCCATTTCATTCTCTGTTTTGTCTGGAAGCTCTGGAGAGAGCATTGGACACTGTATACTGGGGATGCCAAAAAAAATGTATACAAGTGGACTCTTTGGTCAACATTGCTCACGAAGTAGTTTGCCATAATCAGAGGTATCTGGATACTGATGGTAACCACTTTGAGCACCTCTTGTAATTGCAGAAGTCAAACGTGGCTTGTATTCATTTTTTGTTATCGTATATATTGAGTATTACAATTTTAATACAGTTTTCCTTTCTTAAAATGTGTATACATATTTTTGGCACCCTCTGTATATATCTCCCAGGACTACATATATGCTCAATCATCCTCAGTGGCTATTGCACTCTAGAATCTGGGTTACAAAACCAACATTTAATTTCATAAACACTTTCTGAGTATGATGCTAGATCCTGAAAGGAAGATACAAAAATGATTAAGGCATAGTCCCTGCAGAGGAGATGGTGGTTCAGAGCTAGTTTCTTGGAATCAGAAAGACCAGTGCTTGAAGCCCAAGTCTTAATAGCTGTGTGCTCAAGCCCTGATCTAATCTGTGTAAGGCATGTGCACAATGCAAATAATAGTGCCACCCAAAGAGTATTCTAAGAAGTAAATGAGATGGTACGAGTGTGGTGAATAACACAATGTCTGGTACTTAGGAGGTTTTAAATCGATGCTATTTATTATTGTTGTTGTTGTTATAACATTCACAATCTAGTGAGAAGAACAGACAAATCATAACTACGAATACAAAGTAGATGATCAGAGATGTTAATATAGAGGTAAAATGTGCTTTGAAGATTTTGCAAGAAGAAGAGGTTAGTTTGGGCTGGAAAATGCTGGTAAGATTTCTCCTAGAATTTATAGAGCTGTGTGTCAGCTTAGGAAACAAGAACTGCAGCTCTAATTTTAGTGATCAAATAGTGCAGGAAGAAGCAACATGATATAATAAAAAAAAGCATCAAGTTTGAAACACTACAGCCTTACATTTAAATCTCGGCTCATTCATTTATTAGCCATAGGATTGTGGTCAAGTAATTTAACTCCTTTAAGCTTCAATT